GAGAATTTACTGGTAAGTTGGCGTAAAGTGCTTTACTGAATGTAGTTGCTCACGTGTTGCAAAATTGTCAACGATAGATTCGAGGTGAGCCGCGCACTACCATTCCTGACACAGAGATCGGAAGCGCTTCATCAGAGGTTGCTGACTACCGCCTTATGAAGCGCAGACCTAACAGGCGAATGTCTCAATTCAGGAGTGAATATGGCTACGTACAGGCCACAAACCTGACGAGGCGTTGCATCAGTCTAACAGATGAGGGCGTGAACGCAGCCGACAGACAACAGCTCAACGATGAACCGTAGGCTGCCCACCCATTCCAATCTTTAACATTTGCCCACTTTTTAATCGTGAAATTTACGCCCACCACCGTTTTAAGTATGGACGAGAGCTCTTACAGACATGTGAGTCCAATTCATCTCCACCTTACACTGGGAAAACTGGGTTGTACACGTAAACTTCACCGTACAAACGCTGGATGATAAAAAGTAAAGCGATGTAAGTACGTGTTCACTTCTGAAATTGGATTTCATGAATACTTTCCATGCCCCATCTAACATGTTCACTTATTGTCTTCTCCCACAGGTAAACGACGTTGAAAATGCCTACTGGATTGCCGTTTAAGTGTCTGTTAGCACAAAAATGTTTTATTGTGCAAATTAGCACACTCTTTTACCTCATAATACAGGCTGCATTTCTTAATAGTTGCTTTTGGAGTAGACTTGGGCACATGTACATTGTTTCCGGAAACCACGGTATCGGTGCGTAGGCAAGTTGACATTCATGCGTGAAAAATTGGATAACTTCCAATCGCTCCATAGCTTCAGACTGTTGAATTATTATCGGTAATTCCGGAATCCGTGGGGGAGAAGCGTACGAGTTTACACGTTTCAAACGTTTCCGTTTACATCCAGACTATCATAACAAGTAATTCGTTCACACTCGTCTGCAAAGGCGCGCACTTTACGAGGGAGTTTAACAATATTTACCTCCCATAGTTCCAGCATTATTCACAATTATTAATGGAAGAAAAAGCATTTTACTTCATGTGAAAATATGTATTTAGGTACAAAGTATTCAACACAGTTAGTGTCGTATGAGTAAGTATTCACCAGTCACTCCACCAACAATCTCCTTTCTCGATCTTTTTGCAGTAGGACGGTCATCCTGCAATGTAGAACGAAGGAGACATTTATAATTTCTGCGGTATATGCCTACATGTAGTCAATGGGAAAAACGGTAAGCAAGGATCACATATGCGCAAAGTTCTTGAGAAAAAGTTTGATTAAACAATGGTCTCTTCGTATTTCGAAAACACACCTGACATCTCAGGTGTAACCAATGCACCTTACTACGCGGATCAAGTGTGTCAGCTGGCATTTCGATAAATACATGACGACAGGGAAGTAAACTGCTTCTGAAATCGCCCCCGTAAATTATACAGCTGGTCATGTCACCTAGAGTTCACAAAGGGGAGCGTTACACAACTTCATGTGCTGATTCACGTCTCCATTGTTACCCTGTATGATTACAGAGGATAACAGCTAGAAATGGCGGGAAAATAAGAAAAGAACGCTAAGGCATGCTACTTACCATCTCGAACCAGTTAGATACAGATTAGCCAACTCTAACTGACTGCTACCTAGTGCAAGGATAACCTCTACGCCAACTTGGTAACTTTGGTGTACACCCATAAGCTCATGTCCCTTATACATAATGCCCCGATTCAACCTGTCAAAAACCCTTAAGAACTCAAGCAGACAGATATGAATAGGCTTTCTCTACTCAATAGAAGTTGTTTCTGAATTCCTGGGTTAGAAAGTTTCCTGCCTCGGAGTAGGTGTGGAGATTCTGCTGTCCCGTAATACTAAGTGAACTAATAGTCTTCCATTCAATCAGTAAACAAAAGAAAACAACTAACGTTGTACAAGGTTATGGGTGCATACATGACCCAAGAAGAGTAAAACTTATCGGTTCTTCGTGTACTTACCGGACCAGCAGGTTTTAATCCTCTCCGGTTTTCAGGCACGCCCAACATAACACAGCACAAACGCATCTCTTGGACTCATTGTAGGAGTTCAAGACGTTCACAGTTTCCCTTTCCTCCCTTCTGTGTGGACATTCAGGAAATATAACTGTAGCCATCGTCTTTAAAAACTACGAGCGAAAGTTTTCGTGTGATTACGCCCACAAATCACATATACCTCCTTCCGAATTCCTTGTCATGATGCGGTTCTAAGGACTCGTAATCATCACAAACTCTCCTCATTATCATAAAAATACTTCGAAAGCTGACTTACTCTGATACGTCAACTACTTCCGCTATCTTCATCCTAAATGCTTAGTGTCCCGATGATTTCTTAGCTACTCCTTGCTGTTAGGTAGCTGGGGGGTCAACAGAAGATCCACTGCATCTCTTTACAAGGCCTTACTAAGTAGCACACACACTGACGCTTGCAAATCTCACTCCCTATTTGACTGTGAACACATTCAGTAGATTATTTTAGACTGCGCACCATAAGTGTACATGATCAGCAATAACATAAAAAGGTAAATATGAGATACACATGTATACATTAGTACACTTAACACAGGTGATAACCTAACACCTTCCTTTATCCTTCCAAATACATTTCCACTGCATGCAAAGCAAGTTATACTTTAACAACGAAAAATTTTACGGGATGGACCTTATTCATTCTAAATTCACATTATGAACGGTTAACTTACCTAAACAGAGTGACCACACCACAGAACCTATGACAAGCCAGCTTACAGACAGTAGGCTGATACTGACATGCCCAATATAACGCGGTTAGACAGCTCGACATGCTGCATAGTAAATCTAGCTACTAAGTGAAGAAAACCAACACAAATGAAGACGTTGAGTGAAATTACGCCAAAATATTCTTATTCCATGGAAAATTTGGACGAAATATTGACCAGCAATATCAGCTACGCATCACTAAGTTTACATGACAACATGCTGTTTACCGGCACCCCGAATTGCCGGTATCCTCCATTCGAGGTTGGCGCCAGCAATGTTAGTGCGTTTGGATGTGCAACGTCAATGACAATGTTCTCGGTATCTGTATTTGAGATATAAGCCAATGTTCACGGACAGTATCTTGATGGATCCAGTACATTATAACCGCGTTTCATACCCCAGTTTTAGTTAAGGTAGGTGGCCGGAGGTATCCTTGCTGAAGAAATTTTTCTGTGCCGATTATGGAAGCTACATATAGTCTGACGAGTCAACTAACCACGATTTGCTATGCGTCACTGCGGGATTCACTGTCAGGTAAATGTCCGCTGCTTTATATGATGTATGACCACAGAGACCTCGCTGTACAGTTGGAATTGTTGGGGTTAAAGCCATAGGACCGCGGAAGTTTTCTAAGAGGTTCAGACCGACGTAGCACTTCCATGGTAACCTAAAAAGTAGACATACTGCGGTACTGCATTTCCAGGTCATAATGCGAATGTGGAAACTAGGTACGGAAAAACGAGCAGGGGGTTTAGCAGTTTCAGAGGGGTTCCGCCCCTCGGAACGGGCTGTACCTACCAGTTCTGGTTTTTCCATGCTACACCGTAGTACCAAAACATACTGGTCCTTCAAACAACACTATTATTCTTTAACATGAAGTCTGCATGATGAGGCAGGCAAGCAGTTATAGAAAGACTGCTAGAATCCTGTGGTTAGAAGGGATCAGCCCTTCATCAAATCATAGTAGCTGCGCATCGTCTCAAAATTATGCTACAAGTCGCCGACTAAACGCTGTTTATGGAGAGGTTGTCGCATAGACGCCTTTGTTCAGGTCATTCTCGCAAAGTTCTAATACACTGACGGCGATTCGTGGCACGACGGTGGAACGTCTGCCAGATAGAACCCTAGATCAGGTAACAATCCGTACTTAACAACCACACCCTAGGTAACAAATACCAGCCACAACCTATCAGTGGCTGTCCTAACTCCAGGGTGACCGGCTTTACCCGGGTGATCCTCAAGGTACAGAATCCGTGGTGATGGGACATTAGACTGGAGCGTTAAGAGCCGAAGAAATGCAAACTCATTCCGTCTACCGGAAGATGGCAGTAGGTTTATACAGGGATAGTCAGTGTACCATTTAGGCGTTAAGAGGACCTTGTGCTCACAGTGCCTTAGAGAACGCTAGTGGAGCAAGCGCTGGACTTGAGAGGCTGCAAGGAGATGAGAATGTAATTAGTGACCAGCAAAATTCAGAGGTTGATTCGGAAACTTTGACTGCATTAGGCAACTGGTTCCAGATCTGAGGGAATCCATCCATGAAGTTAATCTCACGAAGACGAGATTCAGACAGCTTAAGCACAAAGCGGCTGGCTCGGTTGCTCGGGTTTGGCACATTTTCTGTTTAAAATGAAAACTACCGCTTGTTAAATAGAACTATTTATGTGATATCTTAAGTAAAAAAGTAGGAGTAACCTTAAGTCGTCGCATCCTAAGTGATTCTAGACTTCAAGCAGTGCTTCCGAACTTGCGACCCGTTATGCAAGCGTATCCACCATATCCCAAAGCCGAAGACAAACTGAAAAGCGTATAGCTTCACAGGCTGAGGACGTGACTGCATAACTAAGGAGAATTCATTAAAACATATTCAACTTCGTTCATTTGAACTGAGACTTCCAAGCATCTATAGGATGACGCTTGCCACAAGTAAGGGCTTAGTGATAAAAAATCTAGCTGAGAAAGTGTTTTCTTACCGTGATCTTAAGTTTACTGGTCTGAGACAGATGAGCTTTATCTTAGTCATACGCTTGAAACCTAGAAGTGAATTTTGGAGGGTTTTATAATGGGTGCTGTCCGTCTATCTCCACGAATTTATCATGATTTTGTGTAAAAAAAAAAGGTAACAGTCTTTCTTTCACCACAACAAATGGACAAGAATATGCAGAGAGAATTTCGAGGTAATCAGTCCACTAAATCACCTCAGGGACTGATGCTTGCACAGAAAGTGGTGTTGGTTGTTTCTAATTACGCAAGCCATTTAAAGCGAAATATCATTCTGTTCCTGTGTGAATCACTGCAAACTGTTTCAGAATGCAAAAAAGTTCTTGTTTATCGGCCCCTTTCTCACCGCAAAGTTTGCGCGTAGACGCTACATGTATGTCGTGTTAACTTTGTAATTTATCCTCTCCCAGGTCGAAAATATCGTTTAAAATTACTTTAACATCAGACCCAAATCTACCGTTTAAGGTGTAAGTTGGTTTCAAGTGTCTCATTGCGCATTGCAGGTTGAAGGTTCCTGAAAACGCACCCTTTACCGCTGTTCTGAAGTTTGCTGCAGAGGAAGTGAGTATTGATAAAAATAGCTCTTCAAAATTAAGAAATTTCTAAGACACAGCAAAGTTATCTCCCGTTTGCTAGCTTTATAGTATACATAGATCGGTGAAATCGACACTTTCATTCGAGGTAGTGTGAATATGTCTTATAAACTATGAACAGTTATCTCTTCAAGGATTTCGAACTACTAGTCAAACTTGTTGATACTCATAAGTATTCTGATGCGTTTTTCCCACAGAATCCGAATGGATTTACCTGCATCATTTCTTTGGGAATTTCAGTCTCATATGGGCATTTAGTTGGGTTTTGGTGGTTTGCAAAATTCGGACATTGGGTAAATGATATTCATTATTTTGGCATTTTGATTTCCAAACAAATGCAGAGTGAAGTAAATCTTTTTCAGCTGACGTTTCACTATTTAATGCCAATAGCTTTATCTAAGTTACTTACTTTGGAAAATAAAAATTTCGAAATAGTGGGTATAAAACACTCTTCTCACTTGAAAAAAAACTAGAAAAGACGTCGTATATTGTTCTCATTCAATGTCTCATCTGCAAAGAGGTCTACATGGTTGCAGTGTGCAGGTTTCTGCTTCAAAGGATTTCTTACCGTGCACCAACAGTTAATTTCTCGACCATGGATCTGGAACGTAATAATTTGTCGACATCAACCTTTAAGTATCTGCGACATTTCAGACCACGTACTTAATTTGACAGATAAAAGGTAGGACTTCGCTCAACTGTCTTCCACGGTCACTCTTCACAGTAGCATGAAAAGAATAAGTGCGTAGAAAAAAAACTGAAGTTAAAGTGGGTAAAAGTATTGTAGAAGGAAAAGAATTTGTTAATGAAGGCTAGTGAAAACGTCCAACTTTTGAAAAACGTCAGAGAGTGATTTACACTCACCATTGTTACTGATTTTTCAGCCATGTCACCAACGTTCTCTAACCATTGGTTCCCATCATCTCGAGGACAACCAGGCAGCCTTCACCTCTCACTACGTCTCGGGCCAACTGGAACTTAATGAACGGGTGCCACTTCCAATATGGACCCACGTATGCTAGCATGGCACGTCGAGGTACGTGGTGGCCTAGTATGCGTAACATGTCCAAGTCACATCATTCATTGAAGGTTCACAAATTTATTAACTGACTTGCCTAGGTCTCTTCATTTAACCTCTACATTGTTGACATGGTAGTCCAGCCATATGTGAGCAATCCTACGAAGATAGCTATGACCAAAAACCTGTAGTCTATTCACAGCTTCCACTTTCAACCGTCATATCTCAGTCGTATGATAGGACAGAACAGAATGTAGCGCGTTATACTCATCCCTTAACAGGCGGCCAGATATCTTGTCTGTCGGCGCGAGTTGGTGAGAGTCGACAAATACCAGATGAACCGTCTGTATCTGAGCTGAGATTTCGTCATCAACCAAACCGTGCGGGCTAATGCGACTACCCAAATAAGTAACGTGGTCGATGCATTCCACTGCCTCACTCCCTATCTTTAAACTGAGAGTAGCTGCAAACCAGTCCTGAAGCATCATACGTTTCATTAAGATGAGAGCCCTTTATAGAAACACTTCAGGTAGAGTGAGGGTATACAGCCACCTGCCTTCGTTATTCCTAACCAGCAGTGGAGTTTGATAAGGTTGGTTGATTTCTCCATTCCTCTTTAAGTTCACCTTCAATGAAGTTTTTGAGATAGCTCTGAAGGTGCGTGATGGCGGTGTACATCTACAACCTGGAGTACGGCTATTCGACCTTGAATTTGCGGACGATATCGTTTTACTGTGCAGTAACACAGGCCACTAAAATCGCACTTAATCAGTTGGTGATTAGCGTCTGTAAGTATGATGGTATGTGCTTCACACTATCGAAGTGCAAAGTACTATTGCAAGATTGGTAGGAGCCTGTGCTTGCACTCACTCTTTATGATGAGTCGTTGGAGGTAGTCGAAAAGTTCTTTTTCTCTGAGTAGTTGTGTGAGTGCTAGTGGAGGCATGAGATGAAATTTCTAGCTGCATATCAAAAGCCAGAGTGGTATACACCTATCTGGCACACCTTTGGTGCCGTCGTGACGTTAGTCCGACGGTAAAAGGTCCGGTTTACAACGCTTCAGTGCGAGCAGTTCTGTACTGCGCCTGTGAAACTTGGTCTCCGAGCTGAAGTGCGACGACTCTGTGTTCGATTATCGCTGTCTCCGTAGGACTGATCGTATTGAGTAGCAACACCATGTTAGTAATTCTGAAGTATGACAGCATGTATTTGGGCATGATTGACATCGTCATTCAATCAGTGAAGTCATCTGGAAACACCGGCTTTGATGGCTTGGACATATTTCCCGCATGTCATTCCAATGGCTTTCACACCGTTCATTGTTTGTTAGCCATGGGATTGGATGGAAGAAGCGGACGGATGACCAGTGTATGACATGGAGCCATGGGATGAAGGGTAGTTGTGTCTGGTTAGAATGTGTTGTTGCATCACTTTTTTTCTGGGTGGGGTCCGAGAGATCACACAACTCACTGGGTTGAGACGTGAGATATGTCTGAGAATCGAAACGAGTGGTGGTCATGCTGTGGCTTCCTTATATCTTCTTTTGCTGAAAAGCAATTAATGTTTTGCTTTGAATGTATCTTACTGAACTGCGTTTCAAATCATTCTGTTCTTATTACGTTTTTCTTGTTATCCACTTCCGTTCGCTTCATGTCTCCACATTGTTATATAACTTTCTGTAGCGTATTTCTAGGTCCCATCGCTGTTTGTGTCCCAACTCTAACAGGAGAGGTGACTGAGGGCTCCCCTAGTGTACACTAGTTATCGTCACTTCAACTCTCTATAAACACTTACACGTCTGCGTGAGTTTGAGTAGAGCTTTGGTCAGCACTATGTACTTGTATGGTACTTCCTTCACCGTCAGACACTGCCAAAACACCTCACGATCAACAGAGTCAAAAGTCACATTCAGATCAACAAATAGGGCAAGTTTCGGCTGCTGGTAAGTGTGCTTGTGTTCCAGACACTCTCGAAGAGTGAAAATCTGATTGATGCGCCCTCGTTCGGATCTGAAACCTGCTTGGTTTTCTCTAGTTTGCTATCCTCGGGCTCCAGTTAGGAATCGGATAACTGTGGACCCTAGGGTGTTGGAAACAATGCTAGTTAAACTGATTCCCCTATGGTTATTACGAGAAGACTTCTCTCCCTGCTGATGATCTGAAATGATCTGTGAAGTATACCAATCTGAGTGGACTACTTCTAATCATACGCTGCTTAGTACCTTCGCAGCTGTACTGAGTAATTTTTTACCTACATCCTGAAACGCTTCTGGTTAAAAACCGTTAGGTCCTGGTGCTCTGCATTGCTTCAGGTTCGAAACAGCCCTCGAGGAGAGTTGGAGGACCGACATTTAATTCTCATTCATGTTGGAGCTGAATGTTGGGAAATCGGAGCGTTGCTCTGGATCAGGGAAACTGAACTTTAAAGTGTTCTACCCGACGTTCTAGCCGTGTCCTGACAAATTATCAAGGCCCCAAACATTTCGATTATGGTGTCACTATCGTCTTGCCAGTTTCCTTAAGCCTAAATAGTCACCGGGTGTTGCCCAATGCTGACGCCTTCTCCATCTTTTTTCACCACCCACCACTCAAATGGTAAAGTGGAAATTCATTCAATAACCGTGCGCGCATTCGTTCAGTAGGCAATGAGTCACATTTATTATGTGAGGGCTAAATAATGTTAACCCGCTGTACAAACCAGGGTAAGCGGAGCGGTATTTGAACACATGATTTACTGTTTGAAAGTCAGCTCCCTAAACCAGTGAGCCACAGTTCTACACACCCACTGCTGCTTGGGATAATTGAGAAGACTACTAGTCAATGCACTTTCACGTACCTTTGTGTTCGAAGCTAGCTGGAGTGAGTCTTATCGCATCAATCAGCTTAGATAACGTTTGAGAAATCCATTGACGTTTGCTGACTTTTAGATGTAGGTTACCAACTGTCTTCAGCGTTGTTTCTACAGCAGACATTAACACAACAGGTTTCCTCAGAACGAGAACCTCTGTCACATTCGGGAAAAAAATATTTAGTTATCTGTTTAAATGTGTACTTGACGTTCTCATCCTCTAATCGAGGATGCACCAGCTTCACTACCTCTTGTTTTCTGTGACTAATAAGGTGCAAACATGCCTGCTCTGAGTCTAAGCAAAGTACACCAAAAAAGCGATGGCTTATAGCAGTGTGATCTGTGTCTATTGTTGGTTTAATATCAGCGGGCACCAAGTGAGACAATGTTTCTCCTTATGCTTGGAGTTAGCGCTAACCAAAAATAAGTGATTATATGAACAACATTGCAAGAGACGATTACCACTATCGGTTCGTCACGAGGTTCCCTAAATACTTTGAAGATGCCTTTCCAACTAGCAAAACTTTTCTACTTCGGCGCTGAATTCGCCTGGTGTTATGGTTATCTGAACATGTTGCATCATGTAGCTTTTAATAGAATTCATCTTTTTTATGGTTCAAACCCCAGTTGGTTGTCCTTTCAGGTGGTTTCACAATTCTTCCTAGTTCTTAAAGATCCATTCAGTCGAACAGCACACAGCTTATGATTAGTATCCAGCGGAAAAGTGTTATACTCCCATAAGCGAGTTTATGGGAGCTAACCGGTTACTTACATGAATTTCGCAGAATCACCTCATTTAGCAGGTAAGGTCAGAAAGTTAACTACACTGTGATCCTGCGTCTCCGGAACACACCATATATCCATGACTCTAGACTCCACAGTTTTGACAATAGGTGCTGTCCATGCTACCTAGCAAAGGGTTTAGATATCGAAAACACCGATGTAAAACTGGTAGCCTCGTTTTGGAAGACTATGAATAAAGTTTCGTGGGCTTGAATCACGGGAGGTTTCGTAAGTTATAAGATGTTTATCATTGGCATTAGAAAGTAAAGACAGGAGGAAAAAAAGGTATAGAGGGTGAGCTATGTTTTATTGGGTTTCGTATACTATTGGAAATGTCCGGGTGGTTGACAACAGCCTTCCACAACGTGAAAGGCTAGTTATCTTTAAGGTATCTTAAAAAGAGGGATTGGCGTGTAACCGCAAACCCCTTGATACATATGCTTGAGACCTATCCTTTACGACGTTTTGAGGATTGTTGGTTTGAGATTTAGTTGTTCTAACGTCATATAGGAAAAACCCATTCCGTCGACACCTGAATGCCACAGGAAGAAGTGTGCTATTTTTGGCCGACATTTTTAATCTTTCCACTGGATAGATGGCATCAGCATGGTACTGCTGGTGATCCTCGGGGAACACCTCACTGTTTTCATACCTCGTTCGATCAGCAGTGCGACATCACCCTCGGACTTTCATCATAAATTGTCTATTTACATTATGAAAGTAACTGATTTTTGTTTCAACACTATCCAGCAGTCCCTCCTGTAATGGTAGACCCTCAAGGAACATGTGTTCCACTGACATAACTCATTATGATATGCAAGCCTGACTACCATATCTGTGTAGCAGCTATCCAATGGACTAGACAATCATCCACATCTATCGTGTGTTAATACTAACTTGTTAACGAAACCTCAGCCTATGACCAACTGTTTAAAATTCGACTACTCAGACGAATAAGCCCCATGTATAAATACGCATGCACTGTCTTAGTGGATTTCGAAGTATTTTTCCAGGAGTTTTAACTACTGGTCTTTAACATCTCAGGAATATAACTTAGGTGGTCTACACTTATCTGGACGGTTCAGATCAGTCGTCAAACGACTTTGTGGATCAGGTTTACTTGGTCTACCACTCTCTTTTTTTCCGACCTAATCCTACTCCAATTGCAAAGTGGCTTAGCAACTGTACCTTTATCCTAGCCACATTCTATACAAACTTTTCAGTACGTACTCCATAGTTCTGTTAAGTCATCGATGTGCTGCAGATGCGATCAGAAATATGTAGCCCTCCCTAATCCACATCTAATAGTTGTGTCCCATATTTTTAGCTACAGATTTATCTCGTGATCATATTAGATTGTAATTCCTAAAACATGTCAAATCAATAGCGTATGGCTTTCATAAATTGTTGCTATCATTCTGCCAATGCTCAACGTTATTCCATCTTAGTTTAACCATCATTACGAGTTCAGATAATTAGTGACTCTACACATGCCAATTTTCTACGTGTTAAAAACTCACCTACTCCACTTTCCTTACCTAAACCAAAGTCAATTTCAAAATTGTCCACGAAGTATTTTCGCCACAATAATATAAGTTTCAAAAGTAGAATATGATCTGGAGGCGCTTGCATCTTATTGCATTTAGTCAGATTAACATGTTTATCATCAGTTAGTTACCTCCGATTTATCCAAGTTCTTGGTATTTGCGTGTTTTACTGGTATCAAATGTAGGATATCATACTTGTTTTTGAACTTAATTAACTGTCCATTGTAGTAGTTTCATGGCCTCTTTTTTTCAGTTCAGCGTTCCTGCGGCTACGAGCGCAATCATCACAGATGATGGAATTGGTATCAATCCTCAACAAACAGCAGGTAACTCTCGTTTTATTAATAAAAATCTGAGCTTAAGTGGTTTTATAGTAAACCACAGAAGCATATAGTATTTGAGAACTTATTATTTATAGTAATCCTTTACCATCTGTTAACCACTGGGTCACAGATTTGAACTCTACTCCACCTAATTAAGTGTTTATAACCAGGTAGTTGTCATCTATCATGTTGGGTTTAACAGGGCATATATTTGGCTTCAATCTCGAAAGTGTCAAGTAAGACAACTTCTCTTGCTGCTTCCCCTTATTTACGTTGTCTTTACTAGACTTTATATGGGAAAAGCTAGTTGCTAAACTCTTATTTCGTTTGTCGGACTATTCATGCCTCCTCAGTTTTGTCTCTACGTTATTATTTTTTTTTGGGATGCATATATATCTGATGATTTATTCCACTACAACTTCAAAAAATAGTTTGAATGCAATTCAATTCTGTACACGTTTATACTCTAGATTGTAAGCTATATTGATTTTAAAGGTACATGATATTACCTGTTTGTTCAGGGTGAAGTAGGTGAGATGGAATTCGATTAAATACGTTGTAAAAATCGGAACAGTGATGTCCTCATTTAGGAGTAATGAGCTACTCAGTCTTCCACACGTCGAACAATGTAATCAGTCCTCTGACTACAATTTCATCATCCCTAGAAAGGAATTAATGAGAAGTGCTCAGGGTTGGGTTTCTTATGCTGTCTTAGTACCTAGAGTTTCTACTGAGCTTACGTTTCTTAAGGTGAGACAGTGTTAACTAACTTTGTAGTAGAACAGATTGATATTGAGGTTGCTAAACTGCTTTTCAAAATGTTCCACTTAGTATTCCAAGCGTCTACGAAATTTATTAGTCGGAGTACAATTTACGTACCAATTTGTCTGGCTACTTGGATAAGCTGAAGCAACTTCCTGCTGTTGGACAACGCAGTTGCTGTCCCCATCTCACGTTCTGAACACCAGGTTTTTTTCTTCTAAAATAAGTACTGTGTGAATTTCGCCTACTACCATGCTCACTTTCCAGTGAAGTAAACCGATCAGCTTCAATAATTTTTCAGAGTATTACAGTTAGACTTGTTACATGTTCACTGGGTTGTGAACCGTACTTACTGTATGAGGACTTATGATACTATCCAGCCGTCGATATCGAAGTAGGCGGAGCGGAGTGTTTCTATCTGCATAACGTTTCAGAAGGCAACCCCCATATCTGATCTGAGAGCTGACTAATCCCCATTGACTACCTAAATGACTTTCCTATGAGCTCGTTCGTTTAAGATGGTCACAGTCGACGATAGAATTCATCCTTTTCTTCATTCATTCTATTGTTCATCAAAGCATAGACAGAGGTGATGAAGAGACTTTTTTTAACGGATACTTCGTACTGTCACCAAATTTTCTAGCCTAGTAGCGCACAGGTAAATACTAGTGAGTATCCAGTTTTCTATTGCAGCTTTAGCTGTCTCACTTATTACGACATTGACGCTAGAAATACAAGATCGTGGTGGGACATGTTTCCTGGGCAAGCACACACTAAACCTTTTTTGACCTGATAGATGGAAAAGTTATTCAAAGCACTTTACTGACTTTCTGAATGCAGGCTTATGAGATATGGCATATGTCAATAACTAGGTGATCCAGAGTCTATCTATCTATCAAAGTTGGAACGTTGGAGGCAGCTAGCTTAAATGGTATCCGTAGTTAAAGAATACTTGAATCAGATATCGCACGACAGAGTAGCTTTATGAAGTTAACAACTCAATGACTCGAAAAACATTTAGAAAGATCAGAATTTCAATCAATGATGAAAAGCTGTGTTAAATCAAGTGACATAAAGTGATAATAATATGTAACAACAAAAACAGCCACGACGAAATAACATTGTACAGAGTTCGTAATGCAATAAATTTGATTGCTCGCAAGGAGGTTTTATGATTGCTTCCAAGTTCTCATTGTGATTGTTGTTCCATGATTTGTGTGACGATTTGAATACTACTGGGACGCCTAGAATGGAGCATGTTTTTGTCTTAAGAGATCTCTACCCGAGTTTACTGGACAAGGTAGCTGAGTAACTCAGGTGTTACATTCTCATGGTTGCAGGTAACCGAAGTGGGTCAGTATGCTATTCATCCGTTGGTTTGGATTCTGGGTTTTCCAGCTCCTCGTGGTGGATGCTTAGCATCTATCAATCCGATAATAAGTGCCAGATATTCAACACTTCTTCAAGTGTAGTTCGTCATTTATGTCATTTTCCTTTTTATTTATGTGTATGCCAAGAGTTGGTTTTCTTCATCCTTCTCAGATTCGTAGTTATGACTAAGTGCACACTCCACAACACTTTGTTAATAGATAAGTGACTTTTATACTCATGTTGATATGGTTAATCTATACATGTTTGTTTTGGTTATGTTTCCCGGTGTTCAGAAGTGAATACTCCTTTTATGGAAATTGAAAGTCATATCGTTTCTTTTGTTCATAGGTGAAGTCTTTCTTAAACATGGATCAGATTTACGGTTAATCCCCAGAGATCGTGTTGGTAGTCTGTGATATGTGTATATGGTGTTTGGATATCTTTTAACTTTGGTTTGTCGTCATTTTGTATATCATTTCTGTCTATATGAAAACAGCGTGCTGCTATGTTGAAATATAATTGAATCTTTATGATTATTTTTTTCGTTCTTTCAAGTTGATGCTTACTTAGATATGTAAAAGAAATGTTTTCTTACAGTGACTGTCTGTTGACTGTTATAAGCTGAACTCCAGAAGTATAAGGATGTACTGTGTTTAGATAAGCAACTAAAGCCCCATTGTACTGTGACGTAGATAGGTAGACAGAGTTTGTCCTTAATTTGTGATTTTATCTAAATGTTTATCAACAAAATTGTGCTTACTGTATTCATGCGATGTCATCTTATTCACGATAATGAAAGCGTTTGTTAATGCTCTTGGTTTTGTAGGAGTAGAAGATCCCTTTAGTGGAAGTGAAGTACTCGTACTGTAAACTTACGGTTAGCTGGTGCTATCAGATACTTAGGTTAAAACTAATACACGAGCCTCTACCACCATGTGAATATGATTTCTAACTATTTATCTTATTTGTTATTGAAAACTAAAAATCCAAAACTTGAGAACGCTTCACTAGTAGTAGTAGTAGAACTAGAACTTAGCTCCTTCGTTTGGATACTGCGGTATCATAATTAAAGGGAGATCTAGGGTTTGTCGCAAGTTTTTACATAAATAGTCATTACAAATTATTCGTATTTTGACGTTTCATTCTCTGATAGTTTGCATTCCCCCCGATCTCATTTTACCAAACAGACTGTAGTTATCGATGGTGTTAACAGTTGAGTTGCCAAATTTCCTCTTCTTAAACATTCAGTCCGATACAGCCATTCTACTGTTTGAACTCTGTGCCTTCAATGTTCTCACCTTGGTGGTAAGAATACAACAAACAGGTTTGTCTCTCCTTCTTGCAATCATTTGTCTCAGGGATCTCAATAAATATTATAATTTAGTGATGTGAAGAAGTTCTGCATTTATGGACTGATGAAATATATCTCATATGGACATGTTCAGAGATCATGTAGCATTTTCTAATCCGTTTTACCTGGATTAACAGTTGAACATCAAACGGGAATAACTGCTGGTACAGGAACTACTGTACCTAAATATAAGGTTTTGTCAGCTCATTGATTCTCTCTAGAAAATCACAAGTACTTTAGTCCTCAAAATCCACAAATATTTCTGAAAACATGATAAACTGTGACACTGAATCTACTCAACTAATTATTCCTAACATTTTGAAATGTTCACGGGAGCACTAGTGATCTGTTGGGCTGTATTTGGCTATTCAGGTTCGAACAAGAGTCTACTGTTCAAACAGTCATTGTAAGATGATCAGAGACCCACATCGAACCTTATACTGAATCTGTTGTGACTAAACCGGATCTACTCCCACTATGCTGCTACTGGTTTCTTTTGAAAGTACATTGTTCATGATTGGATGTCATGCTGACAAACGCAACACCCTACTGCTGAGTTGTGTGGTTTGGTAATATCTGGGCATCCAAATCTAATCCTTGGCAAATCCGCTTTCTTTTTATGTAGAGGTCAGTGACTCAACAGTTTCATTATAATTAGCATTGCTATTCAGAAGAACGTAAACCGCTTAGAACCTAGCAATATATTATTTGTCAGCTGTCGCACATCTAAATGGATTGATAGGGAGGGCAAACAAATACTTCGACGGAGTTTTGTACACAAAAGATAATCATCCGACCTCTTCGGAGTCATCTATTCCTTCCACGGTGTCCATTTCTTGCGTAATTTCCCATTCATTCCTACCTGACCACACTTCTGTTTCAAAATATTTTATCATGTTACCCAACTTCTTATTCTTATGCCGTAACTGTTATATTTTGACTAATCCTCACTATTCATAACAAATTTGTGTTTCATGATAAAAATGACAGTACTGGTACCGGAATTCTTTCCCTTCTTACCATGTTTGATGAACAACCGTTAACTATCAAACGCTACTTATACACATACACAAATGTAAAATTTTTCTGTTGTCCAGGTTTGAGAATGAAATCACCGAAAAGTCTCTTCACTGAAGTATTTGTTTTTCCTTATCCTGGTGAGTATTTCCTGCGGGGGACGGGTGGTAGTAATATCAAGAGGTATAAAGCAAAGCGTTAATCATGTATTCAGGAGTTAGATATGAAGATAGCTACTGCTTTAGTGTGATCGATTTCAGTTTGTATTGTCTCACTTCATGTGGCCTATTACCGTTCCTTTTATAGCATAGGTCTTGGGGCGACCACATCAGTATTGGAGGAGTTAGGGAGAAGAGAAAAGTCTGTCGATGAAGTTGTAAACCTTCATCAACCCAGATAGTTGAGACATGTGCTACGCACGCCTGATCACCTTCTTCGTGGTCGCTCAATATTGGGTTTAGATCGGAAAAGGGTAAGAGTCGGCCAATCTAGAATATGGTATCACTTCATATATTCTTTGACAGTCGATCCGAGCCGTGTGAGTAACTTCATACTTCGCGACAACAAAAATCGGTGGTTGGAGGATCAGCGTTCTGGCTCAGATTGGCGCGCACACACACACATCTTAATCGTCATGTTTAATTTCGTTAGTGTATTTGTTACTTGTTGTTCTCTTCTGACAACATCATTTTCGACTACTTACATTCTTACTTATCTGTCTTTCACACTGGTTCATTTTCACTTGATATGAAGTGTGTAAACATGGTCCGTTATGCATTAATTTCAGTTTACATGTTTATATAGACCGGAGGTATTGCCTTAGGATTCTAACCACTCATTCAAGTTACCTCATTTACTGCAACCAAGAAGAATACACCGTTCACAGTCAGCGAATCCACAAACTGATGCTGCATATCGGTTTGGATTCATGGTAGGCCATTCCTTCATTTCCCGTTGATCTCCCCAAATATTATTAGAGTGTCACAGAGATTTATGAAGTGGATTAGTCTGTTTTGAATTTGCTTTTTTTGTGTTATATGCTTTGAAAGTGACTGATTTTGATGATTGTGGATATACTGGTGGAAATGATAGTGCACCCAGGATCTGATCTCATAGCATATTCTTGGCTTTCCTTTATTACAACTTGTGAGCTAGACCTGTTTTATATCATGTGCTCCGACATGCTCTCCATTGAACCTGAACGTCCTGGAAACGTTTTATTACAATAGTACATGTTTTGTCAGTGTTGAGACACTGAACTTTCGTTGTCCAATTGAGGAAACATTCCTAACACAGGAGAATGACTACTTATAAGTAGTCAAAGTTATTTTACAAAATATTTCAAACTTTTGAAATGGTTTATGCTCATTTTTTCAATTTTCTACCGCTTGACAAGTAGATGAAACACCTTTCACTACACACTTTCAAATCAGAGAACTAAGAGCATGTTTGATATGGTGATCCCTCAATATTACTGTAACAGGTCTCACTCTTTTTCATGCGAAAGTGAGGATTTCAGTCAGAAGTCATTGACCTCCAGATTAAAGATCTAAAACTGCTGAAGTACACATCTGTTGTGGAACACGGGGACACTGTTTGGTGGTGTTTAGAACCTTTGATATAATAACGTCAGCGATTCCTGCATTGTAAAATCCTATGTGTATCAGGTATCGTCGAAACAAGCCTTATTGTATTAATGTTTAAAAACCTAAGCTCTTTCTCTAAATTTATCTCGTTGGTTCTGTCTCATACACGAAGATGGTGATAAATTTTGATGCCTGCTGTTGATCATCGGGAAAGGTGCTTATAATGAAACCTGTCCTTACGGGAGGAATCTGGAGGTTTCAATTCAGACAACGAAGGAGCTAATTGTTAACAAAGCAACTGTGTTAACGTTGAAATCTCATCGTTGAACTTACATTTTGACACAGACTAGTGGTACTGTGTGTGTGAAAACATTCTGACCTTGACACATGAGAAATTACGATAAGATCTTCATTTCTGCATTTAATTTTCAGTTTGAAAGTTTGTGACACATATCAAAGTCAACTTCCAAATACATCAGAACAGTTTTCAATCTACCGAATAAGATCGACTGAAAAGTATTCAGAAATATTTTAGTACATACTGTATGGCTACGAAACATGACCTTGACAGGTGTAGGGCATGAAAAGGGTCCAACTACCGTCATTCTTTCGATTTCTTAACAACGTCTTGTGAACATTGAATAGAACTCTTTATTATAGAAGTGATGATATGATGTAATTTGATATCTGGTGGTTAGCTGCGGAATTCAGGATGCACGTTTTGTCTTACTTTGGACTTATCAGCTAGATATCTCTGCATCACAATCAATGATAGTATTCCTGCTGAGACTCGAGCCTAGCACCATTCGTTTCAGAACTCTTACGGTTATCCAATAGGCTACTAGATTATAATAATCCCCTCTTGTGTGATTAGTATCAAGTTTTATTTATCGTTACTTGTGCTTTCATTGTTATGTACTGATTAGCAGTATCATTCCATATGTCAATTCATCAAATAAATCAGTCATCAGCACTGAGTTAACTAATCAACTGCAGTTACTTATTTCTGTATTTCATTGGTTATATGGTCTTTCAACGGTACACTAATATGAACGACTCACCATACTATATAGTCGATAAATGGCCCTCCAATATCCTTCAGCTAGTCAGAAGACTTTGGCATTGGTAAACTTGAAAATTATTTGAAAGAACCGCTTGTAAACGTTCAGTTTGAATTCAGCGATGAACTACATAACGAATCAAGTGACATGGAAATGGGGTCAACGCTCAGCTCTCTGTTAGCCGACTGCGAAGGCAGAGCTGTTGCGTTAGACCACGTCAATGTGTGTTTAAACGTCCACTTGCTCTTGTTGAGCTAGTTGCACTGACCCCATAAAGTGGGCACTTTTCAAACAGATACCTAAGCGTTACCCTACATGACTGTCGAAAAATTACCAATGTATCACTAGTTCGACTCCTAACCACTCAGGCATACCACTGTCTACCTTCGAAAATAAACAATAAAAATATTTTCCCGTTCAATAGCCTTGTGCAAATTAGTGCAGTAGGAAATAAGCCACATCTATTGAGTGGGGGCTTAAACCTCGGTTGGTGGAGCCGGGTTTGAGCCCGTGACCCACTGGTTGGAAGTCTGCTCCTTAAACAAATGAGTCACAACTTCACCACATTCGAAACTATCCACAAAAAGAGAATGAACATTTCAAAAGGAAAATGATATCGCATCTTGTACATGGTGGAAGCCCTGACAGTTCATCAATTCAAGCCAGATCTCTGTATACAGAGAAAGTTTGTTCATTCTCATCTTTTACGATTGTCTTATCAGTAATGCATTGCTACACAATTTCCTTCTGTCTCTCGAAATATCTTTCCATTCCACTCTTGATCAGTTCAGTAGTCAGGTGATTGCATTATTACTCCTTTTCAAAAGAATATAATCTGCTGCACAACTTTTTCTTTTCTTCTAGACAAATTTGAATGAAAGATAGCCGGTGTGTATATGATGAACGGCGAGTAGCGCATCATGAATTCACACCAGTTGGGCAGAAGCCTGAGTGATTGAATTGAGTTATGAGTTGCTGACTCCGAAAGACCAGTTTGTCATCCTTAACGGTGGAAAGGTGTTCTCTAAATCGACTTCCTGCCGACTGCCTCCATCCAACCAACATGTCTCAGTGCATCGCATTAGTGAGTCTCCTTGCCTGGTGACCCCATTGAGCAATGACCCGTAAAATTCGATCAGTACATAGGACTAGATACCATGAAGCTGGTTACCCTCTAGTGACAAGCCAATTAATCTAACGGATACATATCTTCAAGTGGAAATGGTTGTTGAATGCAGAGAATTACTCACCATAAGCACTTATCATGGACTGTCCCGGCAAAATCACCTACCATTTGGCATCAAAACTGCTCCGGCTGTTTTTCAGCAGTTGGTAGATAATGTATATTGTCCGGTATCCCAGATATCGCTGTATACCTACTTGATGTGCTAAGCGTTGCTACTTGTTATCAGAAGATCTACGCCACCGGAATCAATTGTTACTCCAATGCATTCAAGAAGCTGATTTTCGCCTACATTTAGAGAAATGTTACTTCTTCCTCCAGTTTTTACAACGTCTTGGAATTACTTTCGTTGGTTACGGTTGAAACCTGAAGCCTGAGGACATAAGAACGATTTAACAAATACCGTCCATGAAAAGCATCTCCGTCCGCTCATTTTCAAGTCTCTTCAGCTATTACTCAGCATTTCCGCTATCGATGCACAAAGGGCGACTGCTCGGTAACGATATCCCGTGTGAATAGTCTAATAAATACGAGTCTGTTTTTACTAAATTAAAATTCATGCTTGATTAGTACTTTCTACTGACACACTATGATCACAAATTATCGATAGTAACAACGACAGTAGCCTCAGTGTATGGCGTTGTCACGTCGGCGTTATCTTCAGATGGACGACAAAAGGCATATATGTGACCGACGAAATATACCCATTTATTCATTAACAAGAACAATGCGTGTATCAGCGAAGAAATGCATTTGAGAAGAAATATTTTCGCTGATACATATATGTGACCCCCATAAGCGCGTGGACTGATAGAGATGGAAGCCCTGACGTTAGATTTTGCAGCCCACAAATAGACGTAAATTTTCCTTGCTGACTGATAATAACCGACTTCTGTCTGTCTTTAGAAGCAAACCAAGAATTCCTACACACTCCTCAAACAGATTGCAGCAATGAGCATTGATTCTCCTTGGTTATGATTTCGATATATAATACCGAGGAACATACTATTTTGGAAAACCAGACCCCCTTTCTCACCTAATTAGGCATTACCCTACATACGACGATCGTTTTCTGTTTCAGATCTCTCAGAGTTTAGTCAGAGATTACAACTTTTCAAAACCTAATAAATGCCATATGAACCACTCTGTTATAATAATGTTGTACCCCACACTACTACTCATACTAAAAATACTACTAATGCTATAACGCCCTTTGCTTTTTTCTGACTTATATATTGATTAAATACTGTTGTCAATGACTACTAAATTCAAAGTTATAAAATGGGATGGTATGTTTACTTTCCAAAATTATTTTCTCTCTCAATAAGCCTTATTGTTATCCTCTTGCGTATTCTGTATACAAGATAACCTTCATCATCCACTGATTACAATTGTGATCTGTAATGTTGTTCACCATGCTTTTATTATTTGAATAAACCCTACTGCTTGCTATTCATTTACTGTAGGTTTAGTGATCTACATTCTATGTCATTCACATTGTAATTCAGAGTGTCGTTGTGTTAGAGAGACGATAAAAGTCCAGCCTTATTCTTGATTGAAGGTTAGATGATACCTATTTTGTCTCAGTCACGTCTACACATAACATGCGCCAGATCCTGGAACACGCTTACAGACACCCGACATTAGCTGTACTTCTCGACCTGAAGGCGGCATTCGACTCCGTCGACTGAGAAGTCTTATGGCAATGTCTCTCTCACTGAGATGTGCCGAGTAACTACATCACCTTATTGAAGACTCTCTACTGGTACACTTGTGGGCGTGTTAGAGCCTCTGGTGAGATGTCCAGGGAGCTATGCTTATCGAGTGGTGCCCGTCAAGGGTGCCCACTGTCTCCATTCTTATTCAATTTCATCTTAGATATTCTTATGGAGGTTTCCCTCTCGTCACCAGGTTACACAGACGTTGACCTAATCACAGTAGAATTTTCGTCAGACCTAGAATATGCAGATGACATAGTCCTGTTAAGTGAAGATGCAGAGTCTTCTGAACACTTTCAGTGGAAATTTGAGAATGTTTGGGATGCGTTTCTCACCACCCAAATGCAAATTGTTGCTCCAGAACTGGTCTTCAGCGGTGCATCGGCTAACAATAGACAGTGAAGTGGTTGAGTGTGTCGACCACTTCACTTACTTGGGAAGTAGGATCAGCCCCGGTGGGTCAGTTGCCGATGAAATCTCTGCACGCATACAAAAGGCTCGATTGGCTTTTGCAAATTTACGCCACCTATGGCGCCTCCGTGATACCCGATTGTCTATTAAGGGTCGCATGTACTGCACAGCGGTCCGGTCTGTTCTACTGTATGGCCGTGAAACATGGCCATTGAAAGTGGAAGATATGAGAAGGCTTCAAGTGTTTGACCACCGTTGCCTTCTTAGTATGGACCGTATTCCATGGTGTCACCATGTGAGTAATGCAGAAGTTAGGTATAGAGTTTTAGGGAGTAGAGGTAAATCAGTTGACGAGGTTATGAAGCTTCATCGACTGAGATGGTTGGGACACGTATTACATATGCCTAGTGGCCGTCTGCCTCTTCACACAATGTTGGCCGGAGTAGGTGCAGACTGGAACAAGGCCCGAGGTGACCAGACTAAAACATGGCACTAATGTATGAAGTCTCTGACTGTTGGTTTGGGTCATGTGGGGCGATGCAAACTAGGTGGTTGGGGTCTGCGAGACAAGAGGAACTAGTGGCTGGAGACTCTATGGGATATGGCCGAGAACCGATGTCAGTGGCTCAGATGTATACACATATTATCCTCATCTTAACGAGGCTATACCGATTCTCACTATTTTGTCATTCTTCCTTCCTTTCTTCTCGAACTTTATATTTCTCTTGACTGAATTTTCTTATCTTCATCTTTCAGCTCACTACCTTTCTACTTGATATAATGATATGAGCTGTGGCAACTAGGACCCTTACGCAGTAATGCCTAATCCTATGTTGACGTTGATGATGATGATGATCGCACGTAACATACTTGACTAATTCGCTTATTTTTGGGGTTTGTGGGGATTTAGTGTTTTCCCAAGTTGGTATTCACCATGGACTGGCATCAATTGGAGGAACATTGGAAACCTGTTAAAACTGGAGAACCGTTTCGTCCTAGTATGGGATTCTTCAGCAGTGCACACCCATGACCCCACCTTCAGATTCCGTGGCCAAATGGTCTACATTTTCAACCACAGTGATGACATTGGTTGATGGTCGCGATATATCGTGAACTGACAGATTTGGAAATATGAACCATTCGATTCTGATAGAGTGACTCAATGGTAACGGGCTGGCCACAGAACCCGAAAGTCGTGGGTTCGATCACTGAAGGGCGGCGTCATGGGTGCCCACTGACGAAGAGTCTCATTCTAGGATGAAAGAGCTATTTTGTGCTCCCAAGTTTCCAATGTCCCTTCAACTGATGTCATTGCACGACGAATGCCAACTGGAATAACTCACTTATGTTTTTCTGATAAATAGTTTTTGTTCACTTCATGAGACTGAATATTTTTAAGAATTGCGATTCCATCTTTTGATTCCATCCAGTATGGATCATGAATAATCACCCTCTATTGCTGTCCGTCCGCTTAGATTAATAAATTGCAATGAAACCCACCACCCATCCCCTCCCCTCCAAAACATACACATAGATGAAACTGTCGTTATATCACATTGTTATTACCTTTTCTCCATTCTGGTGCTGATTTACTACAGCATTGCGAATCATGAATTTTGGATCCTACTTTTGAATAAGAAATTGCTGTCATACAAATTTCATGTATATAAAACAATTATATGCAGTAAAGTAAATGACAATACTTTTAGTTACAACTTGAAGTTATCATAATCTTCATATATAGTTATTTCCAGTAAATCCGGATAAATATATGATGAAATTGTCTTCAGTTGAACTTTCAGTACATGGGAAAGAAGCTCATTCCCTTGAATTCAATTTTTCAGTTCCATATTACCATAGTAAACATTTAATCATTGATATTCATTTCAAAAATCGATATAATCTGTCTAGTTTGCTAATTCCTAGCTCTTCTGATAACCAGAGTTGGCTGAAGGCTAAACTAGTTGATATCGTCGATCAATTCTATAATCCATATCCGAAATAAAGAGGCATTTAAACTACCCCAGACTTTAAATGCCTGAGAAGCTTACAGAATAATCTTGATGCTATAATTCTTAAGGCCGATAAAGGAATAGGTGTTGTGTTGATGAACGGAGTAGAGAACAAAAGTAAACTGTTGTCTATTCTTTGTGATGAAAGTAAATT